TTTGGATTTATATAATTACAAATGTTGAGAACTAATGATGGGATCTATCATCAAACAGCTATTAGTCAGCTGTTGTTGCTTGGTTGTATAACTAATGGCCCTTGTGATAGAAAGCCCATTTTTGAAAGGGAAAATGTTTTCATATGTTTTTAACATATACTAGTCGATTTACAAAAGCTGTACAAATCAACATTTATATATTTAGAATTTTTTTTTTTTACTGTATTTTATTTCATTCATTCATTCATCTAATAAAAAAGTTGGTTTTGTATTGATTTTATTATTTTATTTGATAAAACTCAGTTTGAAACAACACACAGAGCTGTAATTGTACAAATGCCAGCCCAAAAAATATTTATACACACATAAGAAGTAAAAATGTGCACATGATACTACAGTATATAACATGTGTATTACTATATATACAGTGGTGTATTAGCGGTAGTGTGAATGAGATATCCACAGTCTGAATGCCTTTAAAAGCTTTACCAGTGATCATTAAATACTATAATTAAAGCTGTCGTATCTGAGAGCGTTATGGGGTCAAAGGTGAGCTTCACTGCGGTAGTTTTTGACCCCCAGAGGCTCCAGGGTCCGGCGGACGCTCACCAGCAGGGAGCCGTCGGGGTTAAAGGTCGCGCTGACAGACAGGGGGTCCATGTCCTCGGGAAACAGGGACTTATGGGTAAATGTGTTGCTGACGCTGCCATCATCCAGCACCTGAGAGGCAGAAGAGAACACAGGATTATTTTATTACATTTTATGACTTGTTCAATACTTTTTATTACTTTAAGGACATACTATTCTATTACAAAAAAAGTCACACACCCCCACACACACACCTACACACACACGCAACACACACACACACACACACACACACACACACACACACACACACACACACACACCCACACCTTCTGGGCATGGATGACAACATGGTGGTTGAAGGCCATCACGGCGATGTCGTGCGGCTCAAACTGTCGCAGGTCAGCTGACAGGAAGTAGCAGTCGCCCAGGCAACGCACCGCTCCACCTGTCCCCGTCACAGCGCCCCCTACAGGAGCTACAGAGAAACAACAGATATTTTCTGATACTGAACTATTACTTTTTTATAACTTTAATGACAAACAGCACCGTTTATTTTTCATGTGTTTTTTACAGCATACTTTTTGTTTTAATCTTAAGATTTTTGACGACATACCATAACTTTTTTATGATGTTTACAACATACTGAAATTTGATTTTTATGTGACTTTTATTGACAAATTACACTGCTACTTTTTTATGACTTTCTTAGACTTTTTGTGACTACTATATGTCTATTTTAGGACACACTGTAATTAGATTTTCAGGTGACTTTTTATGACATAATGCGCTATGACATTTTTATGATTTCTTATGACAAGCTATATGATGACTTTTCACAACACATTATCCTTTTCGATGGCTTTTAATGACTTAAAATACTATGACTTTTTTAGGCTTTTTCTGAAATGCTTTATACTGTAACATTTTACTATGAGTATGACTTTTCACAACGTTTTACAAGATACTTTACTATGACTATTTTATGACTCTTATTAGATACTAGACATTGACTTTTAACGACATACTATAACTTTTGAAGACTTTGTAAGACATACCATAAAAGGAATTTGTAAGAATTTTCAAGACATACTATACTATTACTTTTTTGTAATATAGTATGGGACTGGGACTTTTCCGTAAAACATACTATATTATTACTTTATTGAGTATTAAAAACATGATATACGTTGACTTTTTAGAACTTTATAATATACTTATCCATGACATTTATACTACTTTTTACCACTTACTAAATAATAACCTTTTAATGACTGTTTTCACGAGGTTCACTATACTGGTTTCCTCCCTGAGTGGCTTTTAAAGGGGACCTATCATGCAAAATGCACTTTTTGATGTCTTTTATACATAACCATGTGTCCCCGGTGAGTCAGGGAACTCACGCAGTGTCAGGAAATAAAACCCTCTCTCTTTTCCTCCGTACCCAAATCTCTAAAAACGGGGAACAACGGAGCTGATCCAGATTTGCGTCCGATATGAGGTAATATCTGAAATGTGGACCCACGGCCCAATCAGAAACGTTGCTATCAGAAACAATGCCCGACTGTTTTGGACGTAATATGGTCGGTGTTTATATTAGCATCGCTAACACTCAGAGCTAACCTGTACTGGAGAGCATGTGTGTGAAGAAGCAGGAAGTAAAAAGGAACTCACCTTGTGGTATAACCGGCAAGAGAGAAAGCCTTTGAGCTCCTGACTGTTTCAGATCCTTGATAATCCATGATATGGCGTTTCATCACGGCAGTATTTAGTTTAGACAGTAGCTGCCGGGTCCCGCATGAGCTCAGACCCCTCCTCTTTTTATTTTATCAAAACAATTTTTTTAAAGCTTTATTCCCCAAATCAGCACTTTTGAAACAGGAAGTGAAATAGAGGGATATGAGGCATGGCTAGAATGGGTGATCTGTTTGGTATTTTGAGCAAAACACTTCATAGACATGATTTTTATATATCTGAGACCTATGCTATTGACTAAAATAGCATGATAGGTCCACTTTAACATTGAACTAAAAATAGCTAACTTTGCTATCTGGACCGGTTTCAAAAAGATAAGGAAGTGTTGACACCCCCTGTCATGATAAGGGGACGCAAATAAAAACATGTGAATTAAAAATAACATCAAAGATGTGGGTCGAATGGAGGAAATGCAGATATGGGAAAGTTACAAATGTTATTTGTTTGTAGCCTTTATTTAACCAGGTGAAAGCCCCTTGAGATCAAAAGATCTCTTTTTCAAGGGTGACCTGCAGAATTTATTGAAATAAAGTTAACTAACCATGTCACAATCAGTGGTTCATTTGTACATTTTACACAATGTATTCATGCATTATGTATTTTTAATTTAATATATGACACCTTCAGGTCCATATGTTGGAGCAGAGCGTTATTGTCTCAGTGGTTGATGAGAACACAAAGATCATTAAACACCAGGAGAGACTGAAGCTCCTGTATTTGGCTGTAAATGTGTTTTACTACCAGAGACAGCCTCTCATTAATAACAGACTCAGCGGGAGCATAAACACGTGTGAGCCTTTGATATTAAAGTACTACAAACGACCAAATGGCTCAATTAAATCAAATGTATAACCTGATTATAGATTATGCCATGAGTTAGTCACACCAGTAATAAAGCTTATTTTATGGCGGTTGTTACGCCAGAACTGTTTTATTCTTCCTGTGTTTTACAGCCTAACACCCACCCTCTCACACCTTGCTATTATTTCTCTATTTGACACAGTTTCCGGAGCCAAACAGACTCTCTGAAACGCAGCTTCTTCCTCTCTGTTGCATTATTATTCAACCCACACCCTCAAATACACCTGCCTCCTTCCTGATGAAGTGAAAGAAAAAGACCCTTGAGCAAGGCACTAAAGCTTTTTCCTGCTCCAGCACATCTGATGATGCGAGAAAGGCTAATTTAAACTACTTTAATGTAACTTTTTTGCAATAAAATACGGTTTTTAAATATTAGCAATCAGTACAAAACAGGGTTATGTTGGAACAAAAACCATCTGATCTTTTCCATTCGTTTTGTTCACATTTTTACTTCATAATACCTTCCCCTTGCATAACAAGAACATGTAGTTTCTTTATTTGGCTGTAGCTTCAGGACAACATCATGCATGTCACCTTAAGAGCATATTTAAGACCCTTTTAAAGTAACTTTCGTTTATAGCTGCAGTTGATTACATCTGCTTGTCTTCAATAGTGTTTATTGTCAGAGTTTATAGATGTTGTATCTTCACGGTCTACTGTGTATTTTATACTTTTTAATGCTGTTTAAATTCTAGTCTTGTTGATTTCTACTCTTTAATTTCTATTTATGTGCAATGCCTTGTTTTGTTTTTTTATTCTGCTGCAACGCAAGACATTCCCAATTTGGGTTAACCCTCTTATCTTATCTATAACACAATTGTAATATCATCATGTCTCCTTCTTTACGAAAATAATAGTAAATGCTCCACATTGTAATCTGCATGTACAATAACAGAGAGTTTGACTACAATAACAAATGTGGACGGGGCTTTGCAAACATTCCTCTCACCAGCAGAGGAGGGAAGTAGTGGAGTACAAATACTTCGTTACTGTACTTAAGTACATTTGGAAGCCCATACTTCTTTACTTTTACTTGAGTCCCAAAGAGTAGAACGAAGCGGTATGAAAACAGTTTTATCCCAGCAGCTATTGCACAAATTAATAAATAATGGGAGCGTCACACAGATGGCTATTTATTTCATTATGAATTGTGAATGTCCATGTTTGTACTTGTGTTTTTCTTTTTGAATGTTTTTTAATATTTTGAGATTTGACGGAGCAGGGTGTATTAGTTCTTTTATTAGAGATGTGTCAGGGTGGATCCCTTGTGTTTTTATCTGCAAACTAAATCTACCTACAGGTACAAATAAAGAACCTGAACCTGAGTTAAGAAGTTTAGTCAGTACTTCTACTTTTACCAGAGTATCTGTACTTCTACTTGAGTAAATGATGTGTGTACTTTTGCCATGTCTGCTCACCAGTGTGTCCGTAAGAGGATCTGCTGCTGAGTCTGCTTCCAAAGGGGGTCGAACAGACGGGACCCCCGCTGCTCTCCTCTCCAAACAGACTGGAGCCATCAGCAGAGTCGAGAAACGGCTCGTAGATTGGATCCAAAGAGTCGGACAATCCTCCCAAAGATCCCTCAGACCGGTAGGAGCTGGAGGTGCTGTAACGAGAAGACGAGCGGTACGACGAAGAAGATCTGCGGCTGGACGAGGACACCGAGGCCATGGCAGAGGATAATGCACACTGAGGGGGAATCTCAGAAAATGTGTTGGCTAATCAGAATAAACATTGACACATCAAAAAAGTAGTTTGACCAAACAGCTACTAACCTCTCACTAGATGTCCAGGCTTCTTTTGTTTGAGTTTTTTTTTATAGAGCCCAGGTGCATTGTGGGTTAGTAGCGGTCCTTCTTTAACCTTAAATGGCAGTATGCCCGACCACTGGTGCCAGGAATGTAACGGTCAAATAATAATAAGATAAGATGTGGAGACCCCCTTCTTTTACAGACACACAGTGGAGATAAGGATGAAGAGTGTTCAGAAATAGCAGGTCGTCCGTTAGACCGACACAATATGAGCACTTTATCAATAATGCAAGAGAAAACTGGGCTCTTTATCTGCTAATGGAACAACAGATACTGTAAAGTTCAAATGTGAAATGGACAGAGAACAAATTCAAGACTTGAATCACAAAATGTGCTTTTTTTGCACGACAAAAGCCATAGTAAATACAGGCCTTGTTGACCTTAACATTCCCATTTTTAAAAGCTTTAATTGAGGTGACATTTTCGTATTGACAACACAGTCCTCCGAGCAGCGCCACATGCCAACAATGACATTCAACACGGTCATAAATAGTACTTTTATATATATATGTGTGTGTGTTTTTTATTGGAGGAGGGCTGAAATGACATTCAGCAGCATGGACGTTTTGCCCTTCAGGATAATGCAGTCGTAGCAGAGACGTTTCCTGTTTGTGAGCTGTAAAGCTGAAACAACGCAGTTATTAACAGCAGCATACATCAACATGACAGTCCCAATGTGTGCTCTCATGTGCAACACGTGTATCTGTCCTTGTGTAAAACGTTATGCATTAATAAACCCCTCTACGGCATATTTAAAAAAAAACAGCTTTAAAAAACATTTTCTGTATGACCTGAAAAAATGCAGGATATTGGAGACTCAGCTCCTCACAGTCAGCAGTAGAAGAGTTCGTTCAGAGGTCCAACGTCTCCACTGGGAATATTTGTAATCTCCAGGTGGCAGACTGGGGTCCCAGGAGCCCAGTGAGCACATCACTGACCTCTAACAGATGGTGAATCATGAGGTGCACTCTGGCTAAACTCAGAAGAGAGGGAATAAAAGAAGCAGGAATAATTTGTTAAACCAGAACATTATTTTTAGCACTTCCTGTTTGCTGGTCTCAAAGTAGGTTTTTTCAAATGTGGTTTTGTTACAGTAGATGGTAAGAATCTCCACATGTTAACACCAATTGTATGATTTGTAAGCGTAAATACAATCTGTAAAGGAAGAAGCTAACACAATCGCTAAGCTAAAGGTGGATAATGTTTGATTGTCTCATTAGCCACTTGTTAGCTACGGCTGTTTTTAAGACACATAATCTCATGGAAAATCTCTTCAGCTTGTGTTAACCATAAGTATTTAGACGCTTTTTTTCAATTTGAATTACATACACTTCAATACGGGAGCAATGTTGGTTAGATGCTTAAATAGTAATATAATATGGTTAATGCTGAAGAGATTTCTATGAGATTTTCTAGAGTTTATATTTGTCTTAAAAACAGCGGTTGCTAACAAGTGGCTATGAGACAAATTAGAGAAAAATTAGCCACGTTATTTTAGCGGTAGTGTTAGCTTCTTCCTTTTGGAGATTGTATTTACGCTTAAAAATCATTCAATTGGTGTTCATATGTGGAGATTCTTACATTACATTAACTGGTATTTAACTTACGCTTGAGATTTTCTACAATTTATGTGTTTTAAAAACGGCGGTTGCTAACAACTGAACATTAGCCACCTTTAGCTTAACAGTGGTGTTAGCTTCTTCCTTTTGGAGATTGTATTTACGCTTAAAAATCATACAATTGGTGTTAATATGTTGAGATTCTTATATTACATTACCTCCTATTTAGCTTACGCTTGAGATTCTCTACAATTAATATGTGTCTTAAAAACATTGGTTGCTAACAAGTGTCTAATGAGACTACTTAACCGAACATTAGCCACCTTTAGCTTAGCGGTGGTGTTAGCCTCCTCCTTTAGAAATTGTATTTACGCTTAAAAATCATTCAATTGGTGTTAATATGTGGAGATTCTTACATTACTTTACCTGGTATTTAGCTTACGCTTGAGATTTTCTCCAATTGATATGTGTCCAAAAGACAGTGGTTCCTAACAAGTGGCTAATGAGACTGCTTAACTAAACATTTGCCACCTTTACCTTGGCGGTGGTGTTAGCTTCGTCCTTTAGAGATTGTATTTACGCTTAAAAATCATACAATTGGTATCAATATGTGGAGATTCTTACATTACAAAACATGGTATTTAGCTGACACTCTTATCCAAATTGACTAACATACACTTATATACCGTAGTTTAAATATTTAGCCCAAAGCCTCCTGACTTCATTGGTTGTGATTAGCTAAACATTATGTTAGCCATTTACTTCTGGCAAATGCATTTACTCTTCAACTATTATAAAAGTAGTATAACTGTGTGGAGATTATCCTGCTGACCATGCTCTTTTAGAAAAATATTGAAAGATCCTACTGGCTTTTTGTAAAGGAAACCAGAGGGATGCTAACTTCAGGGTCGGCCTACAAAAACACGTCATCCCTGCAGCACTTTAAGATGAGATGGTGCTAACGAGGCAAAAGCACAAGTACTGCAGCTAAGGAGAGAAAAATAACATCAAAGAGGCTCCGTTAAGCATTTTGGGCACAGATTAATTATTGTCAAGTATCTTGCAATTCTCAGAAATCCTCTGTGAACTCCAGGGTTAGGACAAGTTGTATTTATGTTTATTGAATGGCATGTCAGGATGTTGCAACAGGCAGAAAACTGCAAACTTCTTCTTAAATATAGTCTTTGAGATAATGTCAAATCCAGGAGAGTTGGTCAAGTCTACCACTTTGGTCAAGACTTAAATATCTCCTCTTCTGGCTGGATTTCCATTAAATGTACATTTCAATACTTTGGTTTATGACCATAAATGACCTGCAAACTAGTGCCCCTCCCACCAACTTAAGCCTTGAGTTCAGTATTGTGGCGTATGTTAGCACGCTGCGAGGTACTGTAAGCAGGTGACCATGATGAACAATTGTCTGCATTTACATACCGTTTGCAGAAATAGAAGTTCAATCAGGAGAGAGGGTTTTGATGTGATGATACATATTTAATGCGCAGATACACAAATGAATGTGACAGTAGTTTTGGCAATTAGGCCCCGTTGTGCAGGAAGTATCATTCGGGAGGGTAGAACCGATCCGATGAAACCACCCCCAGGGTCTAGACACTGGGGGTGGTGAATGGATAGTTGGGTCGGTCTGAGGAGGAATGGTTTAGCTTGACCCTGGATTATGAGGGACGGGAGGTGAAAAGGGGTGGAGGAGGGTTGCGTTGAGTCACCTGAAATGACAGCTGTCGGAGGGGAAAGAGCAGAGTTTAAAGGGTTTGACGGCACGCTATGATAGGCTCTTGGGAATAGAGCGAAGTGATTGGCTAAGCTGAAGAGTGACGCCCCCGGTCACTTATTGAGAGGAGAGAGAGTAGAAACGTGGAGATAGAAATACATGAATGAGTAAAGACGGTCTTCCTGGTTGAATTTGCGCTAAACTTCATAAATCCTGGACAATCCTCCTGTTACTTTCAGGATTATAATTCCTACTGCTAGCTTTGACATCATTTAAAATAGCTACAATTAGAGATACAGGTCTTTAAAAAGTGCATGTAATTCCTTCTAAATTGGTGTTAACATTAGACATTTTAGATTTACCACAAACAAGAGAGGTATCATAGGTGTCAAGATCCTCGTAAATCACCAGTCCTAAGTGCAACATAACTAAACCAACTCATTAGCACTTTAAAAAACGTTTCAATTCAATTGATTTATTACCCCCCTCGTATGATTGTCTATGTGTGTTTTATTTGTGTCTGTTTTTGTTTGCGCACTGTGACAGGGTTGCACTACAAAATAATGTTTTTATAATGACTATAAAGACTATATATTCTATTCTATATCTCAACTGTAGTATTACAACTTAAAGACGTGAATCTTGTGAGTTTTCTGCTTGTAATCAGGGTGCCAGTATTATAGCCAATCATTAAACATTAGCATTGTCTTCAACTGGAGCAAGTCAGCATTTAGTTTAAAGTATAGCCTCATCAAACTGCAAGCATTCATTCACATTTTAGCATGCTATATTTACACTAATGTCTCAAAACTAATGCATGAACAATGTATTGATATGAAAGTGCTGCACACATAGACTGTATATACACAAAGAGCCTGTAAAGAACCATCAATCTATCCCATATTGATGTATTGGAAATCAAACAGTAGCGGTTTCGTCTTGAGTTTCAGGAATGATATTTCAGATATTGGGATTTACTGAAGCCTGACCCAGATACTGCTGGTTATATTGAGTTCACATCTCCTGTGGCAGCGACTCAGACTCAATCCTAATAAACAGATTTTAATGATCTAGTCACAGCCATGATGTAATGGATGGAAACATTCATTTTAAACCTTCCTTGTTAGCGAGAACTTTAACCCGTTAAGCCCTGAGCCTATTTTTCAGGTCTCAGGCTCCAAAATGACATTCCCAGAACAAATGACTATATCTTCCCTTCTAAAAGGGTTACATTAATAATCTTTGTTCTCAAAGTAATGATAAATATGTGAGTTGGATGTTGAAGAGTCAGAATCAATATAGATGTTTTTCATTTTAAAGTAAATTCAGATTGAACATAAAAAACTGTAAATTATAGTGTCTGTCCAAAATACAAACATTACTTATAGTGAAAAGTTTTCACTATAAGTAATGTTTGTTTTTTGGACAGACACTATAAGACACTTTAAGACGTGGACATGGTCATTTTGTTTTGTAACATTAAATAAAATAATAAAAATATTTTATAAAAATAAAAAAACATTCCCGATCCCCGATTTTTTCCCCCCGATTCCGATCTTTTGAAAATCACGTTATCGGCTCCGATCCCCGATCACGTGATCGGATCGGGACATCTCTACTGAAAACCACCCTTGAATGATGGGATGGTAGACTAAAGCTTTAGGAATCCACACTATAACATATAATAAGTACCT